TGTGTTGAGCGACACCCACTGTGTTGAGCGACACCCAGCGCGTTGAGTGTCTCCCAATGCATTGTCACCCAGTGCATTGAGCGACACCCAACATGTTGAGTGTCACCCAGTGCGTTGAGCGTCAGTCAACACGTTGAGCGTCACCCAATGCATTGAGTGTCGCCCAATGCGTTGAGTGTCGCCCAACGTGTAGAGCGTCACCAAATGCGTTGTGTCGCCCAATGCTTTGAGCGACACCCAATGCGTTCAGCATCACCCAGTGCGTTGAGCGTCACCCATGTAGAGCGTCACCCAATGCATTGGGTGTTGCCCAATGCATTGGCTGTTTCCCAATATGTTGAGTGTCACCCAGCGTGTTGAGTGTCATCCAGCGCGTTGAGTGTCTCCCAATACGTAGAGCATCACCCAATGCGTTGAGTGTCACCCAGTGCATTGAGCGACACCCAACAAGTTGAGCGTCGCTCAACACATAGAGCGTCACTCAACACATTGAGCGTCACCCAACGTGTAGAGCGTTGCGCAATGCGTTGAGTGTCACCCAATGCGTTGAGTGTCACCCAACATGTAGAGCGTCGCCCAACATGTTGAGTGTCACCCAACACTTTCAGCGACACCCAGCGTGTTGAGCATCACCCAATGCGTTGAGTGTTGCCTAATGCATTGACTGTTTCCCAACGTGTTGAGTGTCACCCAGCGTGTTGAGTGTCTCCCAATGCGTTGAGCATCACCCAATGCGTTGAGTGTCACCCAGTGCATTGAGCGACACCCAAAAAGTTGAGCGTCACCCAGTGCGTTGAGCGTCAGCCAACGTGTAGAGTGTCACCCAATGTGTAGAGCATTGCCCAATGTGTTGAGTGTCGCCCAATGTGTTGAGTGTCACCCAACATGTAGAACGACACCCAACGTGTTGAGCGTCACCCAACGCGTTGAGCGTCACCGAGCGTCTTGAGCATCACCCAATGTGTAGAGCATCACCCAATGCACTGAGTGTTGCCCAACGCGTTGAGCGTCACTCAACGTGTAGACCGTCACCCAATGCATTGAGTGACACCCAAAATGTTGACAGTCACCCAACGTGTTGAGCATCACCCAACGTGTTGAGTGACACCCAGCGTGTTGAGCGTCACCCAATGCATTGAGTG